AGATGGAGAGACAGCAGCAGAACTAGAAGCAGAGGAGGAGGAAGACGAAGCAGAACCAAGAGAGGAAGATGGACCCGTTCTTGAAATCTCGCATGAAACAGAAGCAGAGGCAGTCACATATCACGCACGTTACCTGCGCACTCCCGGAGTCCGCGCAGAAGATGATCTCTGGCACCAGCGACTCGGCCACCCCTCGCTCCAGACGTTCAACAACTGCCTCCGCACCAAAGTTTTCCTGCCACGAGCCCTGCTACGCCCTAACGGCACGGAACCACTCAGCACATCACACCCAACCACCTGCACCGTCTGCCCCACTGCTGCTCTCACGCACCAAGCCTACCCCTCACTGGAGCCGAGCACCAACCGCTACAAGAAGCTGCAGAAGGTCTACAGCGACTACATTGTGCTCACCTACGAAGGAATCAACGGTGAGAACAACACCCTCACCTTTGTGGACGCGTAATCACGGCACGTCTGGGTCGCCAACGTCGGCGTCCGCTCCAAGGCTCCTGAGATTTCTCGCATCTGGCTCGCACACGCGCAACGGCAATCAGGAAAGAAGCTGAAAATTTGGCAGACCGACGGCGCCAAGGAATTTCGCAGCAATGAGCTGGAAGCTTCTCGCGGAAAAGGGGATCAAGCATCACATCTCACTCCCCTACACTCACCATCAACAGGGCGTTGCAGAGAGAGTCAACCGCACCCTCATGACAAAGGTCCGCGCCCTCATGAACCAGTCAGGCCTACCCAAGAAGTACGGGCCGTACGCCATGAACCACGCCGTGCGCCTGCACAACCTTCTCTCCACCACGGCGAACAGGGAAAATCTTTCCCCGCACATGAAGTGGACCGGGACAAGGGGAGATACCTCCATGCTGAGGGTTTGGGGGTGTGTGGTACAGTACCGGCCGACGTCCGCGACCATCGGCAAGTTCACCCAGCGCGCACGATGGGGAATTCACTTGGGACTCAGCCACGAGTACACGGGTTGGCTGGTCCTCGACATCGACTCCAACATAATCGTGCCGGCGCGTGACATCCTCTTCTACGAACGACTCACCTTGGAGCCGTGGATCGAGGATCAGCGCAGCAACGTCGCGCAAGCTTACGCTAACCACGGCCGCAGCTTCGCTAGCCGGAAGATGAGGCTGCAGCAGCAGCGCTTGATCGCGACCTCACAGACAAACATCCTGGCGTACCTCCACGTCCACGCGACGACGACGACGACGACGATGACAGCGACGACGCTCCCGGGCCCGAACCATCACGTTGCCATGCTCCGCCAAGCAAAACCTCGCCCGCCCACGAAAGCGATGATGACGACGTAGTGGAAGTCACCGCTCAGGAAGCCGAAGGTGCATCCAAGGCCTTCAACTTCTCGGCCTGCACACAGCAGTCACCGCCGCCCCCCGCATCGTCGAGCCTAAGAGCCCGCGACAGGCCCTCACAGGACCACACGCCAAGGAGTGGCGTGCAGCCATGGATGCGGAGCTGAAAGCGCTGGAGTCACGCGACACCTGGGTTCTAGTCGACCGTGCAGCAGTGAAGGGGAGGAGGGTGCTAAGCGGAAAATGGGTCTACTGTCACAAAACCGCCGCTGACGGCACTATCGAGCGCTTCAAGGCGTGCTGGGTCGTACGCGGTTACGACCATCGACACGGCATCGACTTCGACCAGACCTTCGCCCCCGTCAGCCGCCATACCTCTGTGAGGATCCTACTCGCCATCGCTGCAGCTAAGCACCTACCACTACGGCAGATCGACGTCAAGAATGCGTTCCTATATGCGTTGGTCGATGCAACCATCTTCGTGGAGCAACCTCACACTTACGGGGAAGGAGACACCAGGGTCTGCCAACTGAAAAAGTCCATGTACGGGATAAAGCAGGCGACGCGTCTCTGGCAGCAGCACCTGCACAAGATACTTCTGGAGATCGGCTTTAGGCAGCTACCGCACGACCCAGGTATGTACCGCCTTCACTTCAACGGCGATTACATCCTCCTGACAGTCTACGTCGATGACATGCTGTACACCGGCACCTGCAACAAGCTTCTGGACCAGTTCGAAGCAAATCCGGCGTAGCGCGTTGACATCACCATCAACCACAAAGTCACGCAGTTCCTAAGGCTGAACATCACTTACACGCCAGAAGCAATTCATCTATCAGCTTCCAAGTATGCAGAACAGCTGGGGGAACGCTTCAAAATCTCGCCCGCACCACTCTCAACTCCCTATCGCACCCCCAGCGTCATCTACAAACCGGACAACAAAACTCTGTCACCCGCAGGACTCCACCTTTATCAACAGCAACTGGGGTGCCAGCTGTTCGCCTCCGTCACCTGCCAACCCGACCTCTCGTACATCGCCAGCCAACTGGCACAGTATTCCCGCAAGCCAGTAGCAGATAACCACCTGGACCTGGGGCGCGCCCTACAGTACTTCATATCCACACCTGACATCGGGCTCTCCTACTCCACACTGACAACAACATCATTCAACCTCAATGGCTACGTGGACGCAGATCACGCTGCTGACCCCACCAATTGATGATCACGAACCGGCTTCGTCTTTCGCCTGAAGCCAGCAGGACCAATCTCCTGGAACTCGCAAAAGCAGGAACTGGTTGCCCTGTCATCGGTCGAAGCAGAGTACATCGCCGCGACAGCCGCAGTTCGCGAAGGACTTTACCTGCAAGAACTGCTGCAGGAGGCGAAATTTTCAACTTCTCCCACCTTTCGCCTCCACTTCGACAACCAGAGCGCCATTAAAATCGCGAACAAGCCAGGGTTCGTCAACCGCACGAAGCACATCGCGCTTCGATACTTTTTTTCGTCAATGACGAAATTGACCATGGCAAGGTTGACCTCACGTACTGCCCTACCACCGAGATGGCAGCTGATTTCCTCACCAAGCGACTGCCACGTCAGCAGTACAAGCACTGCTCCGACCTCACGGGAGTAGTCAAGCGAGTCAGCCCTCTTCGCGTCCAGGAATGAAGGGGAGTGTTACGATATGAAAAAAAAAAAGGCATTCCTGTATGCTGCGGGAGCCGACTCTACCGAGTACGAAGTCGAGGAGTCAGAAGAGTCGAAGCGACACCAATAACCGTCAGATCAAGACCGATGCAGGCAGAAGCATTTGAAGTGAAAAGAGCGGGAACAGGCTCGAAACGGGTTCCCGCGCCGCACGGTTAAACTTCGCTGTAATAAGGGAATGTACCCCTTAGAGTACATGGCTAGTCTAGGTCGTTTCGTATCCCTTGTATTTTATATATAAACCCGATGTATGCATGTTTTTAATCATCTCAGTCATGTACATTCACTCTGACCTGAGGTCAAAACTTCCGCTGCAACAACTCAACCTGCGATCAACCCTAAGACGATCCTTCGCTAAGTCCTGTTTAGGATTGTAACACTCCAAGTGCACCTGCGAAGCTGAGGATTCCGCGATATACACACACTAACGTAGCGGATGGGCTTCTTGGGAAGGGGGATAGTGTAAGGATTTTTTTCGACATTTCTTACCGCGCATCTCAACATCGCGCACAAGACCAACCGTCTCTTCACCCGTTACTACAAACAGTGTTTCGCCGCATTCGCGCGTCACAGTTCCCGAACCACCCAATGCTGGACAGGCCCGGATCGGCCTATGCTTCGGGACTAGCCCGAACCTCGCTACCAGCATCGCACTAGCTAGTTCGCACGCACCGCGTTACCATTTGTTTTTTTTCGCTATAAATTTTCGCTCATGCCTTCGGTCACATTTGTACTCATTTGTCAACTTAGTGCAATCATCGCTTACTCGATTCATTGCACCCGTAACACCCGCCTTTGTTTTCGGTCCGGGCCCATCTTTTTGGAGGCATCTTTATCGCTTCATTCGAGTTCACATTTTTTCTTTGAAAGATATAATATATTGCAAGCTTGCATAATCAAGCATAAGGGCAGGTGATTTGAGGGTTAGAATGTTGGAAGTGAGAAAACCGCTCTGGAGTGGAGAATATAGTCCCCTACCGCTTGTACCACTGAAAGACAGTGTACTTTCAAGACCCATCTGAACCGAAGCCTTGAAAGGATCCGTTGGCCAAGTCCTCATCCCAGAAACACTACCTTCTTTTCTACCACACGCGCGGGGGTACCGTTGTGATTGCCGCAGGCTTCCTTCACGCTGCATCTGCGTCCTTAGGGCGCGGCTCAAAACCGTTCAAGAGTCGTTCAAGACGGGAATGACGAATACCGTTTTCAAACAAGCTTGAACGGTGTTTAGGCGGATTGACCAAGAAAAAGGCCTTCTTGATACGGTCTGTAGCCTGTAACACCAGGGACATGACTCCCGTTCAGGATGCACAGCACTTTGTCCATCACGAATTCATTTGCGACGTCATGGGTAACACGGTAAACTCCCATTCTGAACCCTTCGCCGTATGCATTGTCTGTTCGCATAGACAAGTTTCTCGGAACAAAAGGACAGGTTTGAAATGTCAACGAAAGCATCCGTCGAAGGTCAGGGTTACGGAACTGAAAAATTTCCCGCGTGGAAAATCGTCGACCATTCATGATCAGTGTCTGGTACTGTACCAGTAGAGCGTGCAGTTCAAGATTCTGCACAAATCATGTGTTGCAGTGATCACGACTTGCGAGCAGCCTTGACCTGTATATCTCTGCAGTGTAATAATGTAACTGATCGGGTAACTCGGAAATTCTTGACATGTTCAAGTCCTGAACGCCTCTTAAACAATTGTGAACCGCACCCTCAAGCTTCGAACGCCCGCCTTCCAAACCAAAACGGTAACCCTTTCTTTCTCCCACCATTTCTTCCTAGTCTCTGTTTTGAACTGTTGTGAGCACAAATATCCATCGTTCTCCGCGTTTAGCAGGTTTCTGTCGGTTCGTGCTCGTGTCACAGGACTCCGGCCAGCTCGACGAGGCAACGGCTTTAGTTAGCATAGACCACTCCGCGTCGCGCTCTTGCTCTTGAGGCGATCGCACAGCGTGTTTAAAATGGGGCTGGATCTGGACGCGTGGATAGAGAAGGTGAAGCGATGCGAGTACCTCATGGAGGACGAGCTCAAGCAGCTCTGCGAATACGTAAGCTCAAGCAGCTCTGCGAATACGTAAGCTCAAGCAGCTCTGCGAATACGTAAGCTCAAGCAGCTCTGCGAATACGTAAGCTCAAGCAGCTCTGCGAATACGTAAGCTCAAGCAGCTCTGCGAATACGTAAGCTCAAGCAGCTCTGCGAATACGTAAGCTCAAGCAGCTCTGCGAATACGTAAGCTCAAGCAGCTCTGCGAATACGTAAGCTCAAGCAGCTCTGCGAATACGTAAGCTCAAGCAGCTCTGCGAATACGTAAGCTCAAGCAGCTCTGCGAATACGTAAGCTCAAGCAGCTCTGCGAATACGTAAGCTCAAGCAGCTCTGCGAATGGCTGGTGCCTCTAGATACTTTTTCGTGTAAAGCATTGCGACCGTTGTTTCTTCATGTCCTGATTTCCTACCCTAAGCCTATTCCTCCCGCTTTTACATTGGTCCGCGGCGGCGCGCGGGCGAGCAGGTGAAGGAGATTCTGGTGGAGGAGTCGAACGTGCAGGCGGTGAACAGCCCCGTGACGGTGTGCGGCGACATCCACGGCCAGTTCCACGACCTCATGAAGCTCTTCGACACCGGCGGCCCCGTACCCTCCACCAACTACATCTTCATGGTGTGTTCTTCCCGCTCACTGCCTTATTCAAGCCTTACTAGTCATCTGCTCCTTCCCTTTGGCCCCCTCCGTTCGTCCTTCCCTTTGGTCCTCTGTTGGTAATTCGTGTGCTGTTCTGCCCTTGCATCTCGCATCTCGCCTCGCTGACGTGTGCCCTCGCATCTCGCCTCGCTGCCGTGTGCCCTCCCGCGCACTGGGGATGGCAGGGCGACTTTGTGGATCGCGGGTACAACAGCCTCGAGGTCTTCACCGTCCTCATGCTGCTCAAGGCCAGGTGCGCTCAAGGCCAGGTGTGCTCAAGGCCAGGTGCGCTCAGGGCCAGGTGCGCTCAGGGCCAGGTGCGCTCAGGGCCAGGTGCGCTCAGGGCCAGGTGCGCTCAGGGGCAGGTGGTGTGAGCGGCACGTGAAGTGCATGTGTGGCCAAGGCCCAGGTGCAAGGGCAGGTGAATTGAATATGCAGGTGAATGGGCAGGTGGTGTGAAGGTGCAGATAGCTGGGGCAGGGTTCTCAGGGAAGGGTGCAGGACTGATAACGTAAACTCGAGGCCGGCGGCTGCAATGGGCTATAGTGTTTGGTCGTGGCTTGCATTGCAGTGTCATGCTATCCTCTGGCCTGCTGCCTTCCGTGATTCTGCTGTCTCCTCTCTTCACTCTGGGTTCTTCGCTCTCTTGTGCTTCCCTAGACGCCTCGTGCCTCACGACCCACTCGCCCATGTGCCACCACAGGTACCCAGCACACATGACGCTGCTACGAGGCAACCATGAGAGCCGCCAAATCACACAGGTGACGCCCGGGGATGTAATGCCCGCCCCGCCCTGTCTCTCCCGTTCAATCTCCACACTCCGCCACACGCCTCTTGGTCGGCAAGCTTCTGGCACGCATTGGACAGCAGCCGGTGGTCGTACAGTCTATTGCGTCAGACCACTTGCTCAGCTGTCTATTGCGTCAGACCACTTGCTCAGCTGTACGACCACCGCCTGCTGTCCAATGCGGTTCAGCACCACATGCTCCAGTCGTGTCTGTCAGCATGTATTCTCCACCGCTTGTTGCCCCTTGCGTCTCAGCTCTACTCTCATCACATCCATTCCTCGTATCACATGTGCCTCACACGCCCCATGCACCCTCATCTCACACGCACCCCTCATCTCACACGCACCCCTCATCGCACACGCACCCCTCATCTCGCATGCACCCCTCATCGCACACGCACCCCTCATCTCGCATGCACCCCTCATCTCACATGCACCCCTCATCTCACATGCACCCCTCATCTCACATGCACCCTCATCTCACATGCACCCCTCCCTCATCTCACATGCACCCCTCCCTCATCTCACATGCACCCCTCATCTCACATGCACCCCTCATATCGATGGATCACGCCTCACCATGTGAGCACCATGGCTCCCTGCGTGTGCTGCCGTGGCCTCACAGGGCATCCCACCAGGTGTACAGGTTCTACCACCCACCTCACCCCACCCCATCCCACCCCACCCCACCCCACCCAACCCCACCCCACCCCACCCCACCCCACCCCACCCCACCCCACCCCACCCCACCCCACCCCACCCCACCCCACCCACCCCATCCCACCCCACCCCACCCCACCCCACCCCACCCCACCTCACCCACCCCACCCCACCCTACCCCACCCCACCCCACCCCACCGCACCGCACCGCACCGCACCAGGTGTACGGGTTCTACGACGAGTGCCAGCGCAAGTACGGCAACGCCAACGCGTGGCGCTACTGCACGGATGTCTTTGACTTTCTCGGCATCTCCGCCATCATCGACGGCCGCGTGCGTTGCCTTCCATGCCCGCCCCCCTCTTGTGCTGCTGCCAACAATGTGCTCTCTCCCATGCGCTCTCCCATGCTCTATCCCATGCTACTTCACGGATGTCTTTGACTTTCTCGGCATCTCCGCCATCATTGACGGCCGCGTGCGTTGCCTTCCATGCCCGCCCACCCACCCACCCACTCGTGGTCACAGGGGTGGTGGCGGCATATGCGCTTTCCACCAATGCACTCTCGTGTGCACCCTCGCATGCACCCCACCCTCCGATGCACCCTTGCATGATCTCGTGGATGCACTATCTCATGCGCTGCATTCCACTCCTCTGCCACTTAGTATAGTTATGCATGCTGTACTGTCACTGTTCATCACGAGCGTCCACCATTCCCCCGTCTACTCTCCACTCCACCATGCCATCACATCAGGTGCTGTGTGTGCACGGGGGCCTCTCACCAGACGTCCGAACACTGGACCAGGTGCCCGCTGCTGCCCTGCTCCCGGCCCTCCTTCTGCCTCTGTCGTTCCGCCACTCCTCTCGTTCTCTTGTACCATCCTTCACTTTCCTCTACTAGTCTCGTTGTTGCTGCATCTCATGCGCAATCGTCTGTGCCTGTGTGTGTCTGTGTGTGCCTGTCTGTACCTGTGTATGCCTGTCTGTGCCTGTGTGTGCCTGTGTGTGCCTGTGTGTGCCTGTCTGTGCCTGTGTGTGCCTGTGTGTGCCTGTGTGCGCGTGTGCCTGTCTGTGCCTGTGTGTGCCCCTGTGTGCCCCTGTGTGCCCCTGTGTGCCCCTGTGTGCCTGTGTGTGCCCCTGTGTGCCCCTGTGTGCCCCTGTGTGCCCCTGTGTGCCTGTGTGTGCCTGTGTGTGCCTGTGTGCGCCTGTGCGCCTGTGTGCCTGTGTGTGCCTGTGTGTGCCTGTGTGTGCCTGTCTGTGCCTGTCTGTGCCTGCGTGTGCCTGCGTGTGCCTGCGTGTGCCTGCGTGTGCCTGTGTGTGCCTGCGTGTGCCTGCGTGTGCCTGTGTGTGCCTTTGTGTGCCTGTGTGTGCCTGTGTGTGCCTGTGTGCCCCTGTGTGCGCCTGTGTGCCCCTGTGTGCGCCTGTGTGCCCCTGTGTGCCCCTGTGTGCCCCTGTGTGCGCCTGTGTGCCCCTGTGTGCGCCTGTGTGCCCCTGTGTGCGCCTGTGTGCCCCTGTGTGCCCCTGTGTGCGCCTGTGTGCGCCTCTGTGTGCCTGTGTGTTCTGCTCAGATCCGGGTGGTGGAGCGGCAGTGCGAGATTCCACATGAGGGCCCCTTCTGCGGTAACCTGCCACCTTCATTGCTCCCTGCTCCCTGCTCCCTGCTCCCTGCTCCCTGCTCCCTGCTCCCTGCTCCCTGCTCCCTGCTCCCCGCTCCCTGCTCCCTGCTCCCACCTCTATGCCCACCCCTCTCTAATGGCAGTCTCTCTGTGCCATAACTCTCAAATTCCTCCTTCGCCCTTGGTTTGAACTTTGACTGGCAGCACTGCCCATGACTCACGTAGGTGGTGCTTTGCATGCGGATGGAAGGTTTTGCTCCCCCGCACACTTTATTCACCCCCTCTTCCACCCCCCCGCCCGCCCCCCCATCAACCCCTCTCTCCTCTTCCCTCTCACAACACCATCCACCTCTTACAAAACCATCCAACTCCTCGCCCCATGCTTTCCTCGCTGCTATGTCCTCCTCACATTCCCACTCTTGCTTCTCCTCGAACCTCGCTTTCGCACACACCACGCCACGCCACATCATGCGGGGCAGATCTGATGTGGAGCGATCCAGAGGACATAGAGACGTGGGCCGTCAGCCCCCGAGGAGCGGGATGGCTCTTCGGAGCCCGAGTCACCACCGAGGTACCTCTCCTCTCCCCCACCCAGGTACCTCTTCCCCACCCAGGTACCTCTTCCCCACCCAGGTACCTCCTCCCCACCCAGGTACCTCCTCCCCACCCAGGTACCTCTTCCTCTCGCGTCTCCTCTCCCCCTCGCATGTGCTTCTCTCCCATCCCCCAATTCCTCCTCTCCCTCGCATCTGATCGAGCCCCAAACAGGAGCCATGGCTTGCTTGATGTTACGGCACGATACGGCCTTGGATTGATGTTACGGCATGGTACGGCCATGGGTTGATGTTACGGCATGGTACGGCCATGGGTTGATGTTACGGCATGGTACGGCCATGGATTGATGTTATGGCATGGTACGGCCATGGATGTACGGCGGTTTAGGGAGGACCAGCGTAGTTGTTGATCCCTCTGGCGCCTCAATCTTCTTTCTCCCTCCTTTCTCTTTGTGCTGTGCTGTGCCCCCCTCGCTGCTCTGCCTGCCCTCCCTGTCAATGCTGCCCGGCCGCAGTTCAATCAGATCAACGGGTTGGAGCTGGTGTGTAGAGCGCACCAGCTGGTGCAGGAGGGGCTCAAGTACATGTTTCCTGACAGAAGCCTTGTCACGGTAACGCATCTTCCACTCTCCTACCTCTTCACCTGGGGCTGTGATGCTGCCTATCATGCTCTGATGCTGCCTCTCATGCTCTGATGCTGCCTCTCATGCTCTGATGCTGCCTCTCATGCTCTGATGCTGCCTCTCATGCTCTGATGTTGCCTCTCAGGCTGTGTTGCTGCCTCTCAGGCTGTGATGCTGCCTCTCAGAGATAACTTCTTTCGCCATGCCACTTTTCTCTTGTAACATCTTCACTCATCGTTCTTTTAGACCTGCGTTACATAACTCGACCTGTGCGTGTGTTTCTGTGTCTGCCTGCGCGTGTCTGCCTGTGTGTGTCTGCCTGCGTGTGTCTGCCTGCGTGTGTCTGCCTGCGTATGTCTGCCTGCGTGTGTCTGCCTGCGCGTGTCTGCCTGCGCGTGTCTGCCTGCGCGTGTCTGCCTGCGTGTGTCTACCTGCGTGTGTCTGCCTGCGTGTGTCTGCCTGCGCGTGTCTGCCTGCGTGTGTCTGCCTGCGTGTGTCTGCCTGCGTGTGTCTGCCTGCGTGTGTCTGCCTGCGTGTGTCTGCCTGCATGTGTCTGCCTGCGCGTGTCTGTTTGTGCGTGCCTGCTTGTGTGTGTCTGCGTGCGTGTCTGTCTCCCCTGCAATGCCATGTGTGCGCGGGTGTGCATGGCATGGCATGGCATGGCATGGCATGGCATGGCATGGCATGGCATGGCACCAGGTGTGGTCAGCGCCCAACTACTGCTATCGCTGTGGCAACGTCGCCTCCATCCTCAGTTTCGATGAGCACATGGTGGGTGCCTGGGGCTTAGGGTTTTAGGTTTAGGGTTTCTGGGCCACATGGTGGGTGGCTGGGGCACATGGTGGGTGGCTGGTAACTTGGCGCTGAGAAGTCCTTCCTGTCCCATGCCTGTCACATGGGCTCGCATGGGCTGCCTAGGCTCGCATGGGCTGCCTGGGCTCGCATGGGCTGCCTGTCACATAAGCTCGCATAGCCGCATGTGAAGCTTTTGGGTTCCTCCATTCCTCGGGTAGTCACTGTTCCTGCATCATCCACTTCACACTCATTGTTCTGCATCATCCACTTCACACTCATTGTTCTGCATCATCCACTTCACACTCATTGTTCTGCATCATCCACTTCACACTCATTGTTCTGCATCATCCACTTCACACCCATTGTGCCATGATGCCCCATGATGCCCCATGACCCATGATGCCCCATGGTGCCCCATGATGCCCCATGACCCATGATGACCCATGATGACCCATGATGCCCCATGATGCCCCATGATGCCCCATGACCCATGATGCCCCATGATGCCCCATGATGACCCATGATGCCCCATGATGCCCCATGATGACCCATGATGCCCCATGATGCCCCATGATGCCCCATGATGCCCCATGATGCCCCATGATGACCCATGATGCCCCATGATGCCCCATGATGCCCCATGATGCCCCATGATGCCCCATGATGCCCCCATGGCGCCACCAGGAGCGGGATGTGAAGTTCTTCACGGAGACTGAGGAGAACAACACCATGATGGCGCCGCGCGCCGCCGTGCCCTATTTCCTCTGATTCAACCACCGAGCCCTGCTTTCTCTCATCCAACCACTCTAAGTGTTAGTAGCCCCACTTCCCCAACATCTAGTTTCCCCAGCGCCTCTGCATTTGCTTCGTGCCGACAGCAGTCTTTCTCACATCACGCCACCCCTTTCTCTTTCATCTTGTGCCTACGGTACTTGGTGTCTGCCCTGCTGGCATCGCAACCCAATTGAGCCCGTTATTCTTTCCTCCCGTCCTCTTGCGTCCCTCAGTGTGTGCGCAGCTTAGTCTGAGCTTGCAACAGCCAATTTGTGTATCTGATTCAAGGGCAGACCAGTAAACAAGACGTTTCATCTTAGCTTCGAAGGGATCTATGGCGGCGTTACACCTGATCTTCCGGGCCAGCTTGTGGCAGATTGGATTGGCTGCTGCTGCAACTGCCAGTGTCTTCGGTCTGCATGTGTCAAGAAGAGTGAACAGCGGGATGAAGTTGACTAACAGAATGGAGATACAGTTAGTAAACCCTAATTGGGTTGTACCCCCTAGAGTGCATCTCACTGTAGCCTACAACCTAACAAATGTATTATTGTGACACACCCCCATAGGCAAACTGTCACAAATGGTCACAAGACAATTCAAGAGAAGAAACAAAACAAAACTCAGGGTGGATCTCAAGATCACCACACCACACAGTCCGAGCACACGCAAGCAACCACAAGGCCAGTTCACATGCAATAATATAAGAGCACAAGCAGTACAGTGATCACAACCTAGCAAGAGGAAACATGCAGGTATATATGTATATCAGAGTACAAGGTAGAGTCAAGAGAAGCAAGTGAGGCAGAGTGGGCACAAGCTCAAGAGCAGTGCAGAAACGCTGATGATCACCATACCCTAGGGGTTTGGTGAACATATCACCAGTGTTGGCCTGTGAGGCCACGTAAGCAAGGCGCAGCTGACCACGCTACTGCAACTCTCGTGCGAGAAAGTAACAAAGAGCAATGTGCTCCAGTCTCTGCTCCCGACACAAGGCGATCATGGACTTGTTGTCAACGTACAGAACCAGAGGAGAACGAGGCCGCTCACCCAAGTCAGTTAGCAAGTAGGTCAGTCAACAAGTAGGTCAGCCAGCGTAACTCCAGTGGATCTCTGCCTCACAGCTGGAACTAAGTATAGAAGACGAGCGGATGGACCTCCAGGAAACAGAACCAGCTCCAAGACTGAAAGTGTAACCCTGTGAAGACCGCTGGGTCTCCTGGTCGTCGGCCCAAAAAACGTCAGAGTGGCCAGTGGGCACTACTCGACCCCGTCCTCCAAGCACAAGCCCCATGCCCGATGTACTGCACAAGTAACGCAGTACCCTATGTGCCGACCGGTAGTGCTCAGGGCAGTGTCTCTCGGGCGCAACGTAGCGCGCCAGGATGCTGGGAGGGTACGCGAGGTCAGGTCGAGTGCACGTCGTCAGGTACATGAGGCAGCCCACAAGCTCTGGATACGGACCACTCAGCTCTACGAACTCGTCCGAAGGTGGAGCTGAGAGCGACTGGCCTGTAGGTAGAGGAGTGGGTTGTGGCGAGGAGAATCGAAAGCGGAAGCGCGTCAGGACCTGCTGCACCATGTGTGACTGAGTCAGAGTGATGGTGCTCGCTGCTCTGTCCCGGGTGATCTGCAAGCCAAGATTGCTGCGCAGCTCACCCAGGTCAGTGCAGGTGTGTCTCTTCTGCAACTCCGCCTTCAAAAGGGCCAGTGCCTCAGTGTCAGCAGTAGCAAAAACGAAGTCGTCGACGTACACGAGGACGTAGAACGGCGGCAGAGAAACGTCGGTGCGCAGAAACAGCGACGTGTCAGAAGTCGAAGGAGCAAACCCAAGAGCCGCAAGTGTCGTCCTCAGTGTGTCGTGCCACTTGCGGGGCGCCTGGCAGAGACCGTAGACTGGCCGCGGGAGGCTCAACTGGGTACCGTTCAGGAAACGACCCAGTGAAGCTTTGTGGGCGGCGCATCCAGATCTCCTTGCGAAGGCTGCCCTACAAGAAAGCTGTCAAGAAGTCGAGAGAGTGCAGCTCGTAGTCACGTTGTGCTGCAACCTGCAGTAACACTCGAAGAGTGGTTATCTTCGGGGTGGGGGAGAAGGTCTGGAAGACGTCAACCCCCTGATGTTGACTGAAGCCTCGTGCAACGTAACGCATCTTGAAGACAGGCGGAGAACCCGGCGGCCGCTTCACCCTGAAAATCCACATGCCATCGACTATGTTCGCCCCAGGAGGGGGAACTGCGTCGACGTAGGTGCATGTGGACTTACAGAATGCCATCTCTGCGTCCATGGTTGTCTGCCACTGAGCGGAGTACTGCCCCGATATAGCCTCTGCGCAAGAGCGCGGAGTCGGGATGTCCATTGCATCCGCGTCTCCCTCAGGGACTAGCAGCATGGCAGCGAGATGAGGTACAGCAGTCGCAAAGCACTCGAGCTCAAACTGCCTGTCCTCAAGGACGTCACAGCCAAGGACAAGCTCACCCCCAACGGACGGAGGACAGTCAGACTCAGAAACAAGACTTGTGAGGTACTCAAGCAACAGGCAGCAGCTAATTCAACGAGCTCAGTGACAAAGGCAGACGCAGCAGCAGACTCAAAGGTAGGGTCAGTGACAAGTGTGGCCAGACAACGAGTGACAATCAGACTAGCAGCACGAGTAAGGTTAGACTCAGGGTCAGGAACGTCAGGAAGAGAGGATGCTGGAGGAGACGGCAGGGGAACACGCTGTGGAACAGAGGAAGGACGAAGTGCCATAGTGTGAGTGCCGGGGACAGGTGGCGGACGAACACGGGGAGCACGACGAGTACGAACATGTGTGGCAGGACGAGACTCAGGCTGTCGACACTCGGTATGGTAGGCTGGCAACTCAGTTTAAGGAGAAGGAGCAGGCAGTGGGGAGTCAGGTCGTAACTGTGTCTGGAACGGGTCAGGCGGTGGACATAGTAGAGGAGGAGTAGTGCAAGTAGAAGAAGGAAGACTTAGTACCTCGCGAAGCGCTGAGCCAGGCGGTGGTAGCGACGACTGCGGCTGTGGCGAGAAAAACGGTCGCTGCTGTAGCACCTCTAGCTCCAGTACCTCCAGTACCTCCGGCTTCAGTACGTCCAGTACCTCCAGCTCTATTACCTCTAGTACCTCCAGCTCCAGTACCTCCAGTACCTCCAGCTCCAGTGCCTCCAGTACCTCCAGCTCTAGTACCTCAAGCACCTCCAGCTCCAGTACCTCCAGCACCTCCAACACTAGTACCACCAGCACCTCCAGCTCGAGGACCTCCAGCTCCAGTACCTCCAGCGCCAGCACCTCGAGCTCCAGAGACAGCAACCCCAGGCTCAGCACCTCCAGTGTCAGCACCCCCAGGCTCAGCACCCCCAGAGTCAGCACCCCCAGGCTCAGCACCCCCAGAACCAGCACCTCCAGAGTCAGCTCGGCGCAGGGCCACCTACTCACGAAGCTGCTGCGGCAAGAGGGTCTCCTGCTGACACTGCTGCCGTTGCCGCCCACCCCCAGAACCTCTGCCTCCACCAGCTGCACTACCTGTGCGAGCAGACTCACGGGCACCTACACTCGCCTCCTCGACCAGCTGCTGCCACTCCCAGAACAACGGACGCCGCCGCTGCTGCGGCTCCTGGCAAGAGAGAGGGAGGAGTAGTGCCTAACCACAGCGTCGTAGAAAGTCTGGGCCGACGTCACCTGGCGAATGTGGGCCCTCTGGTCGAACGACAGGTGAGCGCGGACAGCAAGCTGGGCGACAGCGTCGCGCTCCGTCCACTGTGTGCAGGTAACGCGGTCCGCCCAATACCGCCACTGCACGTCCTCTCAGGCTCAGTGGGAGTCGTGACGGCCTGAAGGGACCCCGACGTGTGCTCGAACAGGGAGACGCCATCTCTAATGAAACGCTAGAGATAAAGGCGCAGGTGCTCGAGCCACGACTCTAACTCGAAAGGGCGCCCGTCTGCGTCAACCGCTAGGACAGTGATAGTGGCCATGACAGGAACTAGGGCAAGCTACAGATCTAGGCACAGACGGCGGCTCGGGATCTAGTCCAGCTTGTGTGAAGCAGTGGCACACAAGCAGTAGCGGCGTAAGGGCAGCAGCAACGGTGGTGCAAAGCACGGGCGGTAGCGGCTGCGGTGTGGCGCCTGGGTGGCAGCAGTGCACGGGCAGAGGCTGCGGCTGCAGTTGCTGTCAGCGGTGGCAGCGCAAGGGCGCGGGGCAGGTCAGCGCCGACGCGCGGGGCAGGGCAACGCGACGGCGCAGGGGCAGGGCAGCGCGACGGCGCAGGGGCAGGGCAGCGCAACGGCGTAGGCAGTTCAGCGCGACGGCGCGGGTCAGGGCAGCGCGACGGCGCGGGTCAGGGCAACGCGACGGCGCAGGTCAGGGCAGCGCGACGGCGAGGGTCAGGGCAGCGCGACGGTGCGGGGCAAGGAAGCGCCACGGCGCAGGGGCAGGGCAGCGCGACGGCACGGGGCAGGGCAGCGCGGGTCAGGGCAGGGCAGCGCGACGGCGCGGGGTCAGGGGCAGGGCAGCGCGACGGCGCGAGGCTGGGCAGCGCGACGGCGCAGGGGCAGGGCAGCACGACGGCGCGGGACAGCGTGCGGGCAAAGTGCACGAGGGGCAGCAGTGCGTCGAACAGGCACGGGTAACAAGCGGTAGGTACGGACCTAACCTAGCGGTAGGGATCTATGGCGGTGTTGAACCTGATCTTTTGGGCCAGCTTGTGGTAGATTGGATTGGCTGCTGCTGCAACTGTCAAAACACAACTTGCCAGTGTCTTCGGTCTGCAGGTGTCAAGAAGAGTGAGCAGCGGGATGAAGTTGACTAACAGAATGGAGATACAAGCAGTAAACCCTAATTGGGTTGTAACCTCTAGAGTGCGCCTACAACCTAACAGATGTAAATTATGACAGCAGGTGGTGGTGTTTGTTACAAACTATTGGTGCTGTTATGAGTTGTACAATGAAGAATGCGCAGATATGTAATAACGCGGAACTGATTACAACAACTGAATTAATGACGGGGCATAGCACAGATATAGCGAAATCATAGCTAGGCGAAGGCCCCGGAGTCGATGGTTGGGTGCTGGTTCGGGGTTGCCAAAACCCGAAGGTGACGTGAGGTACGTTCAAAGAGCGAGGTCGTCAGACCGAGCCTAGAACTTCGAAAAGTTGGGGTTGCACGCGTACGGAGTGACCCAGTAAGGAATTGGAAAAATCTCTTACACTACCCCCCCTATAAGAAAGGTGGTCAATATCATGGACGCGGCGG